TGAGGGACTCTGCTAGACATGCATCAATTAATATGTAAATAGGGGAAATTTCTTTCTAATACCAAGCATCTAGTGGCTCCTAAAAATGAGGCCCTGTAAATGAATTTATTTCATTTTGCAGCCTCTCCACCCCTGCTCAGAGCATTAATACGCTGAATAACAGCGATGGGATCACAGTTGGTCAGGACAAACTTGGTACCAGGTTGCAAATTGACCCCAGTGAGGAGGTACCTCATCCCTACCTGGATAAACTCAGCTTGTTGGAGCTGCCTGGCAAGTAATAACCAGAATTCATACTCTGCAAAAAAGAGGGTTTGGCCAGAAGGTGGAAGGAGGCCATTCTCCCCTTCTGCTCTGCTCTGGTGAGACCCCACCCCGAGTACTGCATCCAGCTCTGGGGCCACCAACGTGAGAAGGACATGGACAAGTTCAGAGCTGGAGCCCCTCTGCTGTGAGGACAGGCTGAGAGAGCTGGGGTCGTTCAGCCTGGAGAAGAGAAGGCTCCAGGGAGACCTTATGATGGCCTTCCAGTACCTGAGGGGGCTACAGGAGAGATGGGGAGGGACTCTTGGTCAGGGAGTGTAGGGAGAGGACAAGGGGTGATGGTTTTAAACTGAAAGAGGAGAGATTTAGATGAGATACCAGAAAGAACTTTGCTGTGAGGGTGGTGAGACACTGGAAGAGGTTGCCCAGAGAAGCTGTGGCTGCCCCATCCCTGGAGGGGTTCAAGGCCAGGCTGGATGGGGCTTGGAGCAACCTGGTCTGGTGGGAGGTGTCCCTGCCCAGGGCAGGGGGGTTGGGACTGCATGATCCTACAGCTCCTTCCAACCCAAACCATTCTGTGACCCTGTAAGAAGTCAAACGAGTATGTCCTTGTCTCAACAAAGAGATAGCTTTGGTTTGGTGTGTGGGCCATCCATTCTGCACATCCCCCCAGACAAACAAAGTGCTCGTCTGCAGGAAAAAAAACCTGCAGGGCTTTGCTCCTGCTGTGCGGTGTTAAATATTAATGACGAAAATGACGATTAAGCGGGGATGAATAACCAAAGGGTTACAGACTGAATTGTGGAATGACCGGACTCGGCACAAGGGCGGGATGGTGAGGTGAACCCCGCCGGGCCGGGCCAGGCCCCGCGCGCGTCCCGCCCGCCTCACCCCGCTCACGTGACCACGGGCCCGCCCCCGTGCGCGCGCGTCGGTGCGTGCGT